TAAAATCATGAACATTTATTTGCTTACTGATGCATATATAATTCATAATTAGTAAACTTTTCACACAACTTGTTTTAAACATAAATGAACTAAATTGTATAAAGTATTTATTTGTAGAAGTGCTATTAAACTCATGTAAGCATGTCTCTAAACCTTAAATTTATATGAAAGGACATGCAAAGTATCATCGATGACTGGATATATTCTTCAAATTGTAAAGGTAAACCTATTGTTACTAGGATAATTTTAAATTTAAAAGCTCATATTTTATTGTATAAATTATTCTTTCTCCCGCTATTTGTGATGAGCACACACACATACATATTTATTTTTTTAAAATTTATGTGCAAACTCTTCTTCATCAAACTTTCTATATCACCTCTATATCGGGTTTTAGACGAATGACTACAAAGTCAGTTGACTTATGGGGCACCGGGTATTAAGATGCCTTGTAGACTTAATCACTCGAGTCATATAAGTTACAAAGAAAATATGACTATCCAATAACATTTTTTTTCATATATTTCTTTTGAAGCTGAATAACAATTTTTTAAAGAAGAATATACTAGAGTTTAGGTCAACTAGTTTAAAGGTCATTCTATATTCAAAGTCAGCCCACCACAAAAATGTCCGCCATCCAAAATCTTTCACACACGGTTAAACACTCACAAGAGCTTAATGTGTGTAGTGTAGATGATACATGCAATAACCTAAATCAAGTACTCTAAATGGAATCTAAATAAAGTTAGTGAAAACTTTATTTACTATTCATTAATTACATTAGTACTTGATTACAAATTAACTTGTCCAAAAAACATTAATAGAAAAATCCTTTCTCCTTTCTTCAATTTTCTTTTTTTTTTCCCCTCCATAAAAAATGCATGCATGAATAAGTAGTAATCATGAATAAATAAGATACACGAATAAGTAGGAAAAGTTTCAAGAGTGCATGCATGAATCAGTAGTAATTATGAGTAAATCATATGCATGCGCGTAAAAACCTACTCAATTAGGTAAATAAGTGCTCTAATTCCGAAGGACAATGCAAGTAATATCACAATTAACATCACTTTGATCTATGAGTTCACTCTTTTTGACTAAAATCTTCTTAGACATCATAACTCATTAATTCAATTAGGTAACTCACTTGATTAGTCAATAATTTAACAGAAATAGTTATAGTTTGTTGTTCTTAATCAAGGGCATAGAGGTATGATCTAAATTGGTTTTAAAAGATGAAGCCGTATGTGTATTAGGTTTATTCAATTATACCTCATTATCAATCTTCATAGAGCCACTAGTAAAGCATTGAAGTTGGGCACTAATTTTCTCAAGGTCACTAGTAAGAGTCTTAACCTTAACTTCTAAGAGCTCTTTCCCTATCCTTAATTCATTCAGTAGACTTCTTCTATTTGCTAGCTAAAGTCTCATTTTCTAACTAAAGTTTATACAATTTCTTAATGGTAGCATTATTATTATTTTTTAACTTAACACATTCGTTAAAATAAGTTATCAAAGTCCTCAAAAATGTCACACTCATTTTCTAATTCTTCTTTCAAAGAGTATGATTGCTCATAACCTCACTTGACTCTTATTAGGATTGGAGTTCTCACTTTGATTATTGGAGTTAGACTCATCATCAATGAGAGAGGCATTCATTGCATTATACCTCTTCGAGATATCTCTAGCATCACATTCTCCCTTCTATCATTTCTAGAAGTACTAGATTCATTTTTAAACTTACAAGGAGGTCTCTTACTATTCTTGAGAAATTTCTTAGCAAAGTGGGCAAGTTCACCATCCATAAGTTTAATCTTCATCACTAGTGTCATGATCTACATCCCTAATAGATTTAAGGGCTAAAGACTAGACTAAAATAATATATTTAGAAAGATCCTACAAGTTCGGCAATTTTAATAGCATCTAGGCCTTTGTTTTCCTCAATAGCTGTGACATTAGGTTTGAATCTCTCTAGTTGAGATCTCATAACTTTCCTGACAACCTTAGCCTTAGGGCTTCGTTCCCCTGAGTTAAAAACTAGAGTTGACCATATCATTCAATTTAGTATAAAAATCATCAAAAGACTTATCATCTTTCTTCAAATTTGGCAGTCAACATCTACGATATAGACTGTTTAACAAATTTAGTTTCCTTACGTGCAGTTTCTAGGATATCCCAAGCTTCTTTTGCAGTCTCATACATTGGCACAACCTAAACTCTTCGGGTTACCGCCATAAATAGGGCATGAAACCCTTTACTATTCCAGTTACACTCTACTAGGTTATCTTTGATCCAAAAAGAAATATTTGTAGGATTTACTACTCCAACAACAGTTGTAGCAGGACGGTCTAGCCTTTCTCTACACACATTCAAATTCTCCCATCCACAGATTTCAAGATAGCTCTCATCCTTACCTTCCAGTAAGCATCACTCGGGCTCGGGACTAAAAGAATGGTTGGGACAACAAATATCCATCTCGTTCGTACTTTAGATACCCCGTTAAAATACATGTATGAAAAGTGACTGACTTTTCTAGAAAATTATATGGGTTAAGAATTGAATTTAGGCTCTAATACCAATTGTCTAATAAATATTTATGTTTAGACCCAATTATTGAGAATTAACAAGCAGTAAGTCACTATTTATTGATTGTTGATGATTAAGGTTAATTAATCCTGTATTGTCAATCAAATAAAATAATTAGATCAAAAGCAATAAATAACATCAAAATTGATCATAGGGGAAAATCCTAACTCATGATAAAAAACCTCCAGTCATACTTGACAATAAACATTAATTGACTCTACCCACCTAAATTGTAAATTACCTTCTCAAAACTCTGGCCTACTTTTCTCTCCGTGTGGATCCATATTAACAAACTTCATCCTTGAGAGTTGGAACTCCAAGTGCCTTTTCCCAATACTCATTGACACTCAAAGTTAATTGGCGAAGGTAGGGTTTTGTTTTGGTGTTTGATCAATGATCACTTTATGCTTTGATATGTAGGCTGAAGCAATAGATATTGGAATATGTATTTAGCTTTCAAATAACAAACTCTTGACTTATAACAAGGCTCTACTAATGAAGGATCAAACCTTTGAACAAGGATTTTGAGGTTGAATCAATAGAATCAATATAATGTTTTTATGATCTTGAACAATGAGATCTCTAAGGCAAAATAATGATTTACACACCTTGGGACATTCATCGGGTTGTACATTTATAATGGAGGTGTTTAGGGTGAAAAGGGGTTCAAAAATCACTATTTTACGGGAACTAAGCAAACTAAAAATCGAACCGTCGATTGGACTTCTAGTCTCATGACCAGCGAGAGGTCTTTGAGCATCGATCTGGTGTCCGATTGAGGTGATTCAAAGTGTGTTGAAATGCTAATTTAATGGATTATAATAGTTAATGAATTCAAATGTTTGGTATGTGAACAATACGTAGCAACCTAGAGTTCAGAATTTGGAGTAAAACTAGTGCAATACTTTGGAATTCCATTAAATTCTAATTGCATTTCATTGCTCATATGTGATCTACTTACACATTTTTTTACTCCTTCAAGGACTATACTAACAACCATTAACTATTTTGACCTTAATTACAATTCTATTGCTCTTATTTTGACTTTGATTACAACTAAATTAACACCTACCACAATTCAATTAAAGCATGATTTGAGTAAGGAAATTGTCAATTGTAAAATTTGGACCTAAAAAATTGAACATGGGGATTACCCATGATGATGAAATTCAAGAAGGAATTTCCTCTTGAGCAAATGTTTGGAATGGAAAAGGCACCATAGTCCGCTGACCATTAGGTTTTGGATTTTTACAAATTCATATCTTACACTTATTTGGTTCATGATTTTCATAATTTTTAGATTGCGTCTCGAGTATTTGAGTTGTTTGCTTGTTCATTTTTGCTGCTTTTGTGTTTTGCACGGTTGCACCATTGACTTGGAGCAAACATTGAGTTCAGGAGGATTAAAGTTGGAGTTAGATTAGCATAATGTGAATTTGAGATGAAAGGATAACTAGAGAGGTCACAAAGGGCTGAAATACTGGTTACATGAGGCCACATACTAAGAGATGTTAGGGTCCCCCAGGAGAAATAAAGCTCATATCGGCGAGCCGCTGCGCCATCCAAACCCACTTGAATTTGGTCAAATTAGTAATGTTTTATAGTCATATTTGATAGATTAATACTCCTTGTACATAATGGAGTTAAATAATGGTTTTCATACATATGAGATGTCAAAAAAAGACGGAAAGATTATTTATTTATTTTTGGGTTAAAAAAATTCTAACTCAGTTGTATCTCACCACATCATCTGCATGTAAATTATTTTGTTCATGTAGCACAACCGAATTTGTTGAAGTTGGAAAACTATAGCATAAGTGAATTTGGGAAAAAAAAAATACAGTCTTAATTATCTCGTTCACAATAAATACACACACAAATCCCCAAGGTTTGATAGCAGGGTGAAAGGGAAAGGAAATAAGAAACAACCTTCTTTCATCAGATTTAGATTGATGCTTAGTGATAAGAGTGAAATTATACAAAAAGGGGGTAAAAAATATATATTGAAGAACTAAATGAGAAAGGAGGCAGTAACAGGTGAATAGGGGCTTTATTCCATTTCCTTTCTTAGGGCTGTTGTCTCAGATAAGTTGTTTGAAGTTGTCGTTATTTCATAAGACAAGGGAACATATAACTGATGTAAGGTATGTTAAGTGATGGAAAACCATTGATGGAGGATTTTACAGCAAGAACTTGGCTGGTAAACTCAAAAAACTTGGCCCTTACATTTCTGGACCATTAGAGTGATCAAAATGCAGATTCGGAGTGTTTCAACTTGCTGATTTTGATTTTGGAGCATGAGAATGCAATACACAATGAAGAAATTTGATAATTACTTCTTTACGAGTAAGATTTCGTGAACTCGAAATACTGCAAAATATTTCAGTAATCATACCACTATTATTCTTATTATTTCTAGTTCAAAGGCTAACTGTTCACCATTGAAACTTTCTGTAATCATAGTATATAATTTTCGGATATATAGCATAAAATATACTTGTCCACCAAAGACTTCTTCAGGGAACACTTATTTCTTCTTTCTGGAGGTCCCATAAACATCACTCCATTTGATCAAGACCGTCGAGCTCTACCAGAACGTGCAGAAGACTCATTTTCTTCTACCACATTTGATCCTTGTCCTTCTTGGAGTGAAAGCTGAAAACATAAGAAGATACACTGAATATCATCCAAAATTTCTTTGTACAAACTCTGAAAGAGAATATTGGTACAATTGAATGAACATAAACTATACATAGTTGTCTAAGGAAGTCGATAGTCTCAAGAAACAGTTGAATAGACTACTATTCGACAGACATCATTGACATCATTTCCGAATAGAAGACCTGGAAAATGTTACGAGAATGGCATGAGATGAGCAATTAAAAAATGGTTATTTACCCGATATGACACCTGATTCTTCAGCCATGCATTTTGAACTCTTAAGCCTTGCACCTGGATTCAAAAGACAAAATGGCATGAAACCAGCAATCGAAAACTACGTTCTTAAATTCTTATCTCATGCTTCATATATATAGCCCTCACGACCGGACTTCACAATACAATGTATAATCTTAGTATCTTTTATTCTTTAGCGTATGTTGCCAAAATCTAACCTTTTGTCAAACACACGCCATATCCATTTCAAATCATGAGGTAGTAATGAATTTGAATCCAAAATTTCTCCTATCCCATAACTACCCTCCAATTTCTTGTGTCTGCTTGCCGACAGAGAAGGGTTCCAAAACGGGCAAAGTTGTTAAATTGGATTGTGTCATTGAGGGCAGAATTGGAAAATCAATTTCTTGACCGGTTGTCAATGCATTGAATGGAATAATTATGTGTCCGATGGTGCAGAATTTTTTACAAATATTGCACTGTTTCTTTAAATTACCAAAAATAAATGCTATCAAGTAGAGGCTTAGTGTCTTCAAAGTGTAGAACCCATCTAACAAAACAATCCATTGAACTACATGCATACTTATTTTCGTTTTTTTGGAAATATCTTAACACCATTGAATATTTCTTAGGAACGATTTACCTTTCCTTCCGCATGCTGAATTTGCAGTTGGATAATCTGGTCCTGAGTATACAAAGGATCAAAAAAAAAAACAAAAAAACATGAGGTTTCATTAATTTAATTCCTGTAAAGGCACTTCCATTTCCAACAATACCTCAGTTGCTCGGATTCTTTGTGAATTATCCGCCATCTGTTGCTCTAGGGCCGCTAGTCTTGTAATGGTGATTGGTCCCACAGGTTCCCCTTGGACTCTCCTAGTATATGAATATTGGGGACTCAGTCTTCAGATTGGTCATAATAATAAAAGAAGCTAGAAAATAAAATTTCATCTACTAAAGTTTTTGATTCAGGGTGATCAGTGGAACCAGTATTCAGCGTTTAGATTTCCCTGTATTTGCTGCAGGTATAGTTTTTGTCCCTCCAAATACTGCAATTTCAACCAAAAAAAAAATCAAGTTTTGTATAAAAGAATAATAGCAGTTTGCTAATGAAAATCTGATCAAGAAAGGCAATTGACCTCTATACTGCGTTCCATTGGCGGATTCTTAGGCTGAATATTACGAAGAAATTCTGAAACAGGATGAAATTTTTATAAGAAAATGAAATATTTTAGCAGAATACATATATATACACGAATTTGATCTCTTGCCATATATACAGATATACAGATCTCTTGCCATATATACGGATATACGGATCTATTGCCATGCATATATATATATATATATATATATGGCAAGAGATCCCATGATATTTTTGCAATAATGAAATTAATATACAATATATTCGTCATTGATTGAGATCGCATGGGATAGTCTTGGAGAAATATGCCATTATAATTTAATTAATTTATATCATTCACAGCTAACCATATAATAAGGCAATTATTATATAGTCCTTTTCAAAACTAAACATTTTGTTGGGGGAGGCGGGGTATGTATATATATATATATATATATATAGAGAGAGAGAGAGAGAGAGAGAGAGAGAGAGAGAGAGAGACGGGGCCTTACCCTTTCCTCGTCCTTCTTTCAGGAAGCACTTCGGTCACTCCCGTTTAAGAAAGCTGTGTTAGCTTTGTATTGGCTCCCATCTTACTTTTTTATTGAGTCAAAAAGTTGGAGAAAAATATTTTAATTTGGACTAGGATTTGAACAGGTGCTCTGCACATGTTTTGTGTATATATATATCTTACCCACATCATTATGATTAGGAGACGTACAAATCTATTCAAAAATCATAAGATTCAATTTGAAAATAATAGCATCTCCCAAAAAATCTATTTTGTGTTGTGTGTCCATATAGTATATTTTATGTGTCAAATATGTTGATAAGTTAGGAACTTGAGAATGAGCGGAGTAGATAAACGAATTCGTGTTGAAAACCGTCACCTCGAAAAATGGGTAGAGTAACTATTTAAATATTTTCTATTGAACGATTAAAATCTAAACTCAAAGTTTAGCAACAGCTAAACTTAGATATCTGTGATTAGTTCATAAGACCATTGAAGAAAATGAAATTTAAGTTGGTGAGAATAATTAGAATAGCAAAACGGTCATTTATGCTCATACCTAATTATCGAATTTCGGACGGAGATAAAATACATGTACGGCATGTCAGATGAAAGTATTAGAGATTCTGTGATCTTATATATATTCCAAAAATTCAGTCTTTTGCTTTTAATGGAAAAAACAAAGACTAATAATTAGATTGAGTGGTCTATGATCGACTAGTCATGATCTAATTATTTTAGTGAAAAAAGCAAAACTTGTGCAGTACTTTGACATTCTTTTGACTTTTAATTGCATTCCATTTATATATATGTTGGGAATCTACTTCTCATGCGCTACGAAAAATTATAGCAATTTTCGATTTCCATCAGAATTCATCTTTGTGTTTAGATAAAAATTGTGAAAAAGATCATATCTTTTTTTGGATCTGCAAACTCCTTTGCTTTTCTTACGTTCCAACGATCTTGATCTATCAACCACAGCAGTCCAATTATCCATCCTTCAATGGTGATTCACACAGAGAACAAGATTGCAATATTAGGGTTTTTCTTGTACTAGCAAGAATAATGAATTCTTTACAAACTTATAAATCCTAATCAGTTATTTATATAAGCCCAAATGAGCTTGGCCTGACCCGATCCAATATTTAATTAATCCATTTAATTAAATTCGATCCGTTAATTAATTAATCCAATTAATTAATTCAGGCCTATAAATAACCAACTCAATTAATTAATTTATCCAACAATTGTTAAATTAATTAATTGACAAATTACAATCTTCCAATTATCTTTTGTGTGCGACCCATCAGATTTCCGATCACGATATCTAACAACATGAAATATGATTTTGATCTAATCAAAATTGATAAATTAAAACACCATTTTAATTTATCACTAATTCACACTCGTCGTCCCAGATTGACATCTAGCAATGTATCTGGATAATACATGTGACGGAAAATGTCACGTGGTATGACAAAATCAAACTCGTTCGTTTACTGTGAAACTATAATCCTTTCGTCAATATAATCCGATCAATTACGAGATATGAAAATGTGTCAATCTCGATTATCAATCATATCTTTCACTCCACTATTAAGTCGATATAAGTAGAAAACACTTTTTCGACTTATGAGTACACCTTGACCAAGGATTTCGTTATCGACTTAATTGAATGAAATGCAGATTATAATCTCTTACTATTTAAGAGTGACGAATCCTCTATTGGTTATTCATAACCTTCATATGGTTCTCGACATACCTGAACGATGCCGTATTAGTAGCCCTTAGCAGAGCAACATCCAATTCCGTCGAAGTGTGACTGTCCTCATATAAGGTACCATGACAACATCAAGTCAAAGGACCAATTCCACTATCGAACATTAGAGATTAACCACTGACACTTAGATATTTATCCATGTGGAATCTCTATGCGGGTCTCCAATGTTTTGTTCTATATAACAAAACATTCGCGTGTTCATTTAAGTGTCACCACACTTTAGTTTTAGGAGATCAACTACTTACTTCACAAGTAAGAAATGTCACACATGATGGTCTATCCGTAATAACGATATCCGTATCTCGTTATTACTTACGACCACAGACGATTTAAGATTCAATCATATGTACTTTGTATCTCACAATCACAACTCCTTGTGATTAACAAATTACAAATATTTGAATCTACGGAATCTTTTATTTAATTTAATTATTTATTAATTAAATAATAGATTTGCCATTAAATTACATTGATTATATATTGAAAGTATTTATATCCAAAGTTAATTGGACCTAGGGCATAACACTTACAAACTCCCACTTTCACTAGATCCAATCACTTATGTATCCAATATTATATGAGTCTATATGACTATCATATTTATGCTACGACAACTCTTTGTCGGTAGATTTGCAATATTGTCAAATATGGGAATTTGTTATTCTCTTTAGTTATTTCTATGTATTATCTCTCTGATGAAATTGTACCGTCCTAATACATGTTTGGATTATTGATGAGACCTTAGTTCATTCGCTTTGTGAGGACTCTATTGTCATCACAGTACAATAGTATGTGATCAACAATATTAGAACCTACTCCAAGTTCATTAATGAACATATTGATCCACATTGCAACTCTTTACTGCTTCTGAAGCAATCATGTATTAGGTTTTCGCTATTGAATTAACAATTGTTTCATGTTTGGAACCCTTCCAACACACCGTTTAAGAGTAAACCAATTTCTCCATATAAAATCTTCTCAAGATTTTATATAAATTGGGAGGAGTTAAGCAATCTTCTGGATCTATCTCTATAGATAAGGTTGCTTTCCCATATCGTTCATGAATAAATCCTTTAACAAACATTATTTCAACGATTGAAATATAGGGATGCTATTTAAAATCAATTGATTCCACATACACATCTCTATGTAATATTTCATTTCATCTATATGACAAAGTCTGTCATGCTAGATTTAGGTAATAATTAGATTATCACATTTATGCCTTATAATTTCTATACTCATTATTGAATCCTTAGTATTAAAGAATATAAACGTCATTTTGTAATTTACCATAACCATTAGAATCTTTATCAAGATAAACAAGAACAATTGTCTTCAACATTAAAATAATTCATGTCCGAACATGAAATTCATTTTAATGTTCCAGTTATGGTGGGTACAAAGAGAGATTTCTCTAATTCTAATACTAAACCAAAAGGCAATCGCAAGAAGTATATTATTACAGGAAATGCGACAACCTTTACTCATCTTCAACCTGTAGGTCAACTTCTCCCTTTCACAGTGGTCTACTTCTATTTAGCTTCTCTATGTTTGTATAAGTACAGGATCTGTATCTGGTATCAAATACCTAATAAACTAGTGAAGTAGATGCAAGCCTTGCAATACTTCTTCCAATGACCTTTCATTCTATAATGAAAACAATGGTTATTAGATTTGGTATTGTCATTCGCTTAGACTATCTTAACCATATTAGGTACTTTCCCAAAGCCCCTTTAGATTTCCTCTTAAAACAATTAGAGGAATCAATGGCTTGCCTACTTCTAACTTTGTTATTGGGCATAACAGTCCTAAGCGTGTTAAGCAACTCAATGGGTATGCATTCAAACTTATTCATATCATAATTCATAATTAGTATGAATAACTCTCTGACACAGATTACAGAGCTAAGTCAATACGTAGTTCGTAGTTTACGACTAAACCTCATTGAGACAATTCTCAACGTCAATCATCTTCAGTGTCTAAGTATCGACTGAAGATTACTCTGTCATTTTGCATTGGTATAGTTGCTTGGAAGTCTCATATCCTTCCAGACATGATTATTATCGTACAACTCTTTGAAATGAAAAATCATATGTTAGCATGTTAGCATCTATACTCTCATGTTGCTTCCATAACTCAGGGTGACATAGTTGCAAGTATCACATACGTTGCAGTACTATTATCATCACTGGGTTTATTATAGTAGCCACATTTTCCTTAGTTTAGTCATCACTAGGCGTCTCTGGAAAATGGCTATTTAAGGACAATCAACTTTATTATGCCTGAGAATAATTCTCAAGTTGCAGTGTCAATCAAGAAGATTTAATTTGATTGTTAGCATCTAGTAAGCATCTCAAATACACATGGTTACTCACGATTTAATAAATATAAATGACGAAAAAGAAAAGAATAATATATAAAATGCATTAATTAATTTAAATGGACTTTTATTAAATTATTTATGCTCCCACTGTTTAATTCAAATTTATGACCCACTCATATAAATTTACGGAATACATACTTCACTCCCAATGGGTCGGGATCCCATTTGTTATACCAAGACCTTGAGTGTACTCAACAAGCATTAATATAACATTTGAGTAGATACTATTATCAATTGTATCTCCATACAACTTCCAGATCGTTAAGCTGACAATTCTTTGTCTTCCCACATCTTATGTGTTAGCTTAATATGCCTCTAAAATTTATCTCATTGAGTGTACTCAACAAAAGAAAAATTTTAATTAAGTCAAACTCGTCATTCAGAAATATCTGATATTTCATAGTGTCAACATTTCTCTAATA